GAAGGCTGATGACGTCTCGGTTGATTTCTCGGTAATAGTCTATCATTTCGGAAACTTGAGCAACCATTCGGGAAGAGAATTGCTCCTCAAACTGAGCTGAGTCTCTTGAAACTCACTCATACGATGCAGACACTGTTCAACTTCGGGCATGGTAGACGGTGGAGCCGGGATGTAAGGGACAACCTTTTCGGGTGCAGGCTGGTCCAAGGAAGGGACAGTGGGCCTTTGGGTCCGAAATTCGGGCTGGAGTGGTGGGTTCATTTGAGGGAGTTTACTGACCACATTGACCGAAGTGACAGGAATGGAGGGTATCTGACCTGGCAAAGCTGTGGGACCAGAGCCAACGAATTCTGAATGAGAACGAATGAGAGAAGTGGGAGGTGGAGTCTGAGGGGGAGCCGATTGGGAAGCAAAGAGTGGAGGAACTATGGGCTTCGGAGCCATCGTGGGTTTCGGAACATTGGTTGATGGGTTTGGACCAGGAAGACTCTGCACACCTGATCGACCCAGGCGCTTCTGCTGTAGCCACTGCTTTACCTCTGCAAACGTATGCAGTGAGGTAGGTAGTGGGGAGATTTGGGGAGGGCCAGAGACGAGAGAAGAAGACCCAGGTTGAAGGTTTGGAGGAGGGCCTGCTTTCGGAGCAGGGGAGGGGCTGGGGAAGGGGGCCGGTGTGACACTTTTAGCTTTGTGAGGCGAAGGGATTGTTGGTGATTCTTGCAATGTAACACCCAAAACCGATTGTGTTTGTGCTATAAATGGGTCTAGAGCAGAGGGAACGGCCTGTTGTCGAACAGATACGGCAGGAGAAGGAACAGGACCAACAGGGGACATTGTGGGCACCTTTTCGGAGGTAAGATCCATTTCGGGCTGGGGAGGACCTTGTTCAATGGAGAACGGACGAGCCCGTTTCGGTTCGGCCTGGGACTCTTCTACATCCTCCAGGGCACGCTTGTTCACAGGAGGATGAACAGGACTACTTCGGACAAGTATCGGAGAAACCCCAGCTGGCAAACCTGCAGAGAAAACGGGGGGGGCGGTTTCGGAGGGTTCCTTTTCGGGAACAACATCGGCAAATTTTGGAGGGCGGGGAGGGAATCGTGGCCTCTCATTTCGGGCTGTAGATGGTTCCGGTTGAGGTCCTTCTTCCCCATCATCTTGACCCAAGCTGGAATCTTGAACAAGAATAGGACCAGCTGGAGAAGACAGTTCTGTTTCTCCCTAAAAGTCAGCTGCTGAGACTTGCTTTCAGTTCGGAACCTAGAAAACTCACCTCCGAACGAGGTTGCTCTCTAGCAGACGTGGGCGCTTCGGTGAGAGGTTTCGGAGAAGGTCTGACAACCCATTTCGGACCGGGTTTTGCAGCATCCCCAGCTGCGACAGTGCCTCCCCTAGCAGTCCTACGCTTGTCCTTCGGTCCTACCGGTTGCTGCAGTGGCGCATTTGAGAACCCAATCGCCGTGGAAGCTGCAGGGGGAGCTTTTTCTTTTCCCTTTCCTTTTCCTTTTTCGGGAGGGGGGGGAGAAACCGATTTCTTGGGAGCCGAAGCTCTTGTGGAGCGTGTTGTGGTGGCTGGCCGGCGAGGTTTCGGAGGGGAGGGATGTGGTGAATGTTCAGAGTCCGATGAGTCCGAATCAGAATCCGAGCTGTCCTCAGGCTTGTCCTGACCTTGTGATGACTTTTTCGGTCGTTTTTCACTTTCGGAGGACTCTTCGACAAGGAAATTGGTCGGCTTGCCCTTGAGGGAGCAGGTGAGAGGGGGCTTTGTGGAGTTATAACAGTGCACACAGACACGAAACTTTCCTTCGTCCCAACGGTTGAGAAACACTGGTCGACCATCAGGTACATTGACACATTTCACTTCGGGATGTCTGAGATCAGCATTGAGTTTCGTTAATTTCTCCCGAATTCGGGAGCCATATTTGATAAACCAATACTCACGTGTAATTGAAAGCCGAAACACAAAACTGGACATGACAGTTTGGCTTTGTGGCCGACTCATCCGCCGAATAACATCGTGACCCTCTAGTAATCGCCCGAATACCCTCTTCCTTCATTTGTTTCGGGGTAGCTTCCCGAAGTCCTAGCTTTTCAGCAAGCTGAGGAAGATACTTCGGCTCTGCATGCCACCAGGGCTGGAGGTAGAACCCTATCTCAGCTTGAAAAGAACGAAGTGATTTCTCATTCTTCCAAATGGGGTGTTGTGGCTGAAGATACTTTTGGAAGTGAACATGGTCGGGGTGTAATTTGTAACCCTTCGGAGGGTTTACACTGGATTTATCTGTTTTTGGGTCGAAGGGGTTCGGCATTTTGAGAAAGAGGTCAAAGAGGTCAGAGAGATTGGGAGGAAGGGGGAGTGGGAAGACTCTAATTTTGATGATAAGATAATTCGGACGAGCCAAGGCGGAAGGTGAGATGAAGCACACAGATGCAGAATGAGCAGTGAGATCAGTTGAGAGTGAGTAGTGGAGAGCAGATGAAAAACGCTGGCTAATGTATGCTGGAAAAAGATATGAAGATGCTGAAGTGAAGTGAAGTGAAGAGAAGAAGTGAATTGAAGGAATGAAAAAGGGGGAAAATCGCGTCAGCCCGTGTTAGTACTTAGTAGAAGTTCAATCAACACATCACCATCAGACACGTCAACATGATGGATCCTTAAGAGAGTTTTGTGCATTCAGAGGATGTATTACCATGAACATGAACATACATACATACTTACATACATGAAAGAAGCTATTCACTTGGGTAGATTGGTAGTCAGTAGTGAGTATGTGACTATCACCGAAAGCTCCCGAATTCGGCCGAAAGGGGACCGAAAAGGAAGTAGGATTTCGGGCTGGGGACATTGCCCATGCCCCTGTGGTCAATACTCCGAAAGCTGTGCCGAAAATGGTATGAATAGACTCAGAAGGCGTCAGGCATTCCAATGATATCAGAAAAGCCACGGAAAGATGATTTTTTAATAGTGAAGGTATTTGGGTCAGTAGTGACGGGATATGGGAGTTGAACGTCGTATTTTGGGAGAAAGTGGCAAAATTTCGTCGGGATTAATTCGAGCTCCGTCGGGATTATCCACTTTTGCTGCGTCATCGAACCCGACTTTGTCGATCGATCCTTCTTTCCCTTCCCCTTCTTTGCTCTTTGACAGAGCTTCTCCGTCTTCCACTCCCACCTTCATCTTCTTCTTTGCAGTACCTCATCCCACCCATTCAACATAAACATCATGCCACCTAGGAAATCAAAGACCAAATCGACTGCTGGGCTGGCCCAGGTGAGACCAACCCTTCTTCAACCCCCTTCAAGGTATATATTGACATTCAGCCAACTCTAAACTTCCGTTCCAAAGGTCCTGATACTTATAGACCCAAAAAACCTTCTTTACTAAGACATTCAGTTTCGGCAGCTTCCATAGGATCTGCAGGGTCAGAACATGTTGATGAGGATGTTTCTGGGGAGGGGAAAGCGGGGCAGAGCGTGATGAGAGGGAAGAGTCAGACTGGGGTGAAGGGAGAAAGTCAGGTGTTGGGGGATGGGAAAGGATCAGAGAAAGAAAGTCAAGTCGTGATTGAAAATAGAGGAAACCAATTCGAACAACAGGAAAAGACGAAGATGTTGAATGTTAAAAGTAAAGAATGGGATGATATCTGGGAATCGGCCGTAGAAGAGATGGGCGGTATGGAACCTAGTAAGTCTACGTCTTCTTTCTTTCTTTTCTTTCATCTACTCAAGATGATTCTGCTCCTTTCATCTGACCAATACTAAACCATCCTCTCATGCCTACCTCGCGAATACGAAAACGTACCTGATATGATGGTCAATTTTCGTATCGTCCCTCTTGTTTTCACATTCCTTCTAGCAGCAGGAATCGATAGATTAATCCCATCCAGCTGTTCAGATTCATTTCCCTTGATCTATTGTATTCAATCAACTAACTTACCTCTTTCTTCGTTCACCACCGACAAGTGATTCGAGAATGAGGGACTCGAAGCGATGTGACTAACATACCTCTGTATGCATTCACCAACGACAAGTGATTTGAGAATGAGAGACTCGAAGCGATGTGGAAACTTTCAGCTGACATCTAGTCCACGCTACGGAAGATAACAAAATACATCGTGAGATCATATTCTCAGGCACGTTCTATCAGCTCACATTCAGACATTCTCAGAGTATTCGACATGACTTCGAAATACGGACCATGTGTAGGAATGACCAGATTGCAGAGATGGGAAAGGGCGAATAAATGGGGTTTAAATCCTGCTCCCGAGGTGGGTATCTCCTACTTCACACTTCTCCCCCCACTTCCCTTCCCTTCAACTAAACTCCTTCTGTTGTTCTCGCTACTCCTCGTATCGCCAAGGTATCCTCCCTGCGTAACTTAGTATATCACAAACATCACTTATTCTTCTATCCTATTGTCCCCTTTCGCCTTTTCGCCTTGAGTGTCCGTCGTTCCTCCTGCCCGGACTGCTTTTTGTCAGTTTTGTCGCTATTAATCCCATATTCATGAAAAACACAAAACAGTGACTGATGATAGATCCGAGCTATACTCACCACCATGCAAGGTGTTGAAGATCCTACATACAGAGAAAACGTGTTGTACACGTGGTTGTGAGGCACTAGGAGAGTTTGTATCAGTATGTAAGATGATCAAGGATAGATTTTAGTATAATAGGACTAGTGTGCCAACCTGTCACATTGACAGGCCCGTCTCTCGCCTCTTGAGGTGAATCCATGAACCCGTGGCCTCTTCTTCTCTCTCTCTTTCTCTCTCTAGCTTGTAGGTAGTAGATATAGTGGTTGTGACAACCTACTTTCCTTCTCTCTCTCTCTCTCTCTCTCTCTCTCTCTCTCTCTCTCTCTGTCCACGCCCTCGTTTATCGTCTCGCGTTCGACCTGCGGGCGTCGCCGCTAGCCACGTGGTTTATCCCCCCAAGTTAGCCTCTCATCATCTGTTATTATAATAGACGAGTGTGGCCAACCTGTCAAATTGACAGGCCCGTCTCTCGCCTCTCGAGCGACTCCGTGGATCTGTGGACCCGTGGATTCACCTCCTCTCTACTCTATCACACACTTTTTAGAACCTGTGTGGCCCTCTAGCGTCTGTCTCTCTCCCATGTTATCCTCTCGCTTCCACCCTGTGGGTAACGCCGCGCGCCACGTGGTTTGTCCCACGTGGTTTGTCCCCTCCTTTATCTCGAGGGTTAATCTGTTATTATAGTAGATTGTGCTGTGCATGCATTTTTGTACATAAATAACTCATCAAAACGTTCAATATCTCTCGTATACTCGTCTTGAGTAACTTTTGCATCTAATCGTACCTGTTCTTACATGCCGAAGATGGACCATGGCAATCATGGAGAATATGTCATAGCTTTACATCTCAAACATTGACATGAAATCGTGTGTACGTGTATGTTCATTCCAAACATTTACTTTATTCTCGCCTCGCTCTAAACAATACGAGTACATGATTCTCATCCATATGACACAAATGAAATCCAATAAAACAAATCTTAAGGAGCCACAGAAAATAAATCTATCTTTAAATCCTTGATCATCCTCATTACCTACAGTTTCAGCCTATATCAAGTTATAACACAAGAATCAGGACATGAACACACATCTTTCCAAGATTTTTCTTTATCTCCTAACGACTCTCCATAAATCTCATTTCTCTTAATAGCTCCACCTTTCCTAATCACTTGAATCGAAATATCTTGTGAATCGAGAGTTGGTATGGGATATTTCCAATATAAAGTTTGACCGATGATTTCGTATGTCCCAATAGAGATAACAACCTCGACATTTAACTTTAAACCATTTTGGTCCACTTCGGCAATGGTGAGTTTCTGTTTATCATCTAAAGTTGGATCGGAAATACCATCTAGATCTAGGAGTTTAGAAGTTGAAGATGATCTTTTCAATTCTTCTTCTTCCCTTTCTTCCGCTTTATCATCATCATTTTGGATTTGGTTCTGGTTTTGAGAAAGAAGAGTTTGTTTAGAAAGAGAAGAAGCATAATGTATAAAAGGTAAATAAATCTCTGTGAAACCTCCTTCTATCGAATCAACTTTAGTCACGTTGATATTGAGTGTGAATCGGGTTGAAGAAATATCAAATTCTAATTTTGTTGGTATTCCTACTGTTTTCATTGGATATGGTCTTGAGAAAGCTGCGGGTGCTCTTGCACCGTCTATGATTAAAGAAGATGAAAAAAATCCTGATTCTATCATCGTGGGTGTGTGAATGGGATCGAAGAACGTCGGAGAGTGAGAAAGGTTGGAAGTGGATATTGATGAGATGGTAGTTTGAGGTTTTGAAGTAAGTGTTGAATATGATAAAGTGGGGATGGAGTCGGATGGATTATTTAGGGATAAAGTAATTTGAGATTTAGATTTCGTTTCGTCGGAATAAAGAAAATCCGGGTTTATGATATCATCCGATGACCAAATAGATAAATCTTCACCATTCCATTGATCTCCCCATTCATGTGAATTATCAGGACAATATGTCCATAAAGTGTATGAAAGACAATTAGGACCATCTGTAGCGTTCAGAGAACAATCCCAAGCTCTTTGTTGAGATGAATAATCGCCTGCGTATTTACCTCCTTCGGTATAACCATAAGATTTTTTGTCGTCCTTGTGAGTTAGCATCTCCTTGTGAAACACTCATCAGATGGACATTAGCAGGTAAAGAGAATACAAAATGAAAGTGGGAGTGAACAAGAAGAAAGAAAAAGGGGGAGGGGTGGGGTTGAGAAACAACGACGTAAACATACCATATCATAAGGACATCCAATCTCTCCTATCAAAGTTGGATAATCCCCCATCACATCCTTAGTGTCTTGTTTCAAGATACCCAATTGTTCTTGTATACTTTTCCTGATATTCCCCTCACCCACTCTCACAGCCTGAATGACACTCCAATATTTCTTCCGGATCAACCCTAATGCGTCGGCATTGAAAAAATTGAAATGTTTCGTCATTAATGTCAGACCATCGTAATAATGAGGAGAATTGCATGCTCGACCTCTGAGAACTTCTTCTGGGATATGAGGAGGAGGATGGAAGACTGGTGCTTGGATAAAGAGGATAGCTTCTCGATGATGTAATCGAACATTAGCTGCGTAGGTGATGTAATGAGGTCGAAAGAAATCTTCAACAAAATCAAGCGCACGAGAGGGTTCTTTGGGAGGGGTGTCGAAGTATTTTGGTATCAATAATCTTGATGATACAGGATCCCAAACTCCATGTAATGCCCAGACTGGAATGTCAATGGTCTGTTCGATGTTTCGTTTAATCTCGTATTGGGGTCATCATATGAGTGAGAGGTGGAAAGTAGGGAGAGGGGAGAGAGAAGAAGAGTTTAAAAGACTTACCACAGATCCCAAGCTGCCAAGATTCACCTCTCTTCCAACCCCATTTTCCACCACCTCTACTTTCCTCTTCATCTGGTTCAAGCCACAGTTTCGTCCCTTTAGGATTCAATACTTCTTTACCAATTTTGTAAGGTCCCAACGGACCAAAAGCCCAATTATCAACTTCCACCGCTTGACCCATGCCAAGTCTCATGCCCTCAAATGGACTGGGAGTTACGCCTTTCTTCAATTGTTGATCTCTTGGAACTACCGACAAATCACCTTTACAGATCATACCTTCACCAGGTTCGTTCATACTGTCCCATCCAATCACGCAAGAATCATATAAATCCCCAGCTTCAGCGATCTTCATGGCTAATTTTTCGCAGGCTCGAATGAAATGATCTTGTAGATAATCTTGTATGTTCATTCCGTCGATGACGCATTTGGGAGCGAACATCCGTCCAGCGAAGAAAAGTGTGAAGATGGTCTGAGAAACCAGACGAGTATAATTCGTACTCCAGATCATTGAGGGGAACTGGGACGGTTGAGGGTATTCATTATGCAATAACGCTCCGTAAGTGGGGGTTATATGACGTGGATCTATACCACAAGCGTAGATAGTCCAAAGTGGAGCTCCTGACCCTCCTGAAAATCTAGACCACTGGAAGTCAGATATGTAATTATCCCCTTAGCTAAAGCAGTCAAGACAAATGATAGACAGAGAGGACGGAGGAAAACCCACAACATCCTGATGAGGATCCATGAAAACTCTGAATCCCCATTCCTTGCATTTCCTCAACACTCTCACGACGTAATCCATGTAATCTTCATCATACTTCCCCGGACCTTCATGTTCCAACGCCTCCCAAGTGAACACGTATCGAAGCATGTTAAACCCCCAGGCGCGCAGTCGAGCGAGGTGGACATCGGCAGTTCCATCTTCGAGATTCAGAGGTCGTCCGATATATTCCGCTTTTCCAGCTTCACCATCTTCCCAGAAATTTTCGAGAGACCATGAGGGTTGATTATGAGGTGTTTTGGAGGATGAAGAGAGGTTGACACCGCGTAGTAGGAGAGATCGACCAGAGGTATCTTGGAAGAAGGCTGAAGAGGTGTGGATGTAGTGGGGTGGGGTGGGTAGTCCTGTGGCGGGGGAATGAGAAGGTACTTGTGGCATATTTGATCTCCTATCTCCTATGTCCCTTCTGATATAACCTCTATATTACTGTCGACGTGAGTGAGAAACAAGAGCCAAGCTGGGGAGGGTTGCAAGTGGCCAAGCAAGTACTCGTACTCGTAATGTGGTGGACTGGTGGTGCAAAGTGGGACCACCCTCGGTATGCTCGCTTTCACCCGATGCGGAGCCCCAGATCTCAAAGAGTCGCCGAGTAACTCCGACTGTGTGGCACCCACCCGGCAATTGTACGTTCAACTCTGGTCACTCTGCATGCTTGACAACTTGAACTGACAGTGTTCCTCCTGACTTGGACTCTCGTTGCGGCATAAAGGTAGCTATCTACTCGTCAAGATGAGCGAAGAAATGAATGCCATCGCCAAACAATTCACCGGTGAGTCGTTTCTGTTCTCCCTGGCTCTCGTTGAAACACCACCACCTCCGACTTCTTCCTCACATTCCTCGGTGCTCGCTTGATGGGTTCTTCCACAGGTGGCAAATACTTTACATCGGCTGTCCCTGGCACAATCACTACCGAGACAGTATCACAGGTCAATCATGACACTCTGAGTGGACTGGTCTGGCTTGAGATTGAGAGGTGAGCTTACGCACAGACTTCTACTACAACACATTCGACACTGATCGTTCTGGTCTCGCCGCTTTATACGTAAGTTCCACCACTTCACCACTGGCATGGCTGACAATTGAAGCGTGATCATTCGATGCTTTCCTGGGAAGGTACCCCCCTTCTGGGAGCTCCGGCTATCATGCAGAGACTTCAAGTGAGTTTCCTTGCTGTTCACACGTCACAGAGAATGTGCACGTGCTGGCTGTATGGAATGCTGTGTGTGAAGATGACTGTTCGCTTCACGTGTTCGTCACGCTGCTCTGATGACAAATCATGTCAACTGTCATGTGTTTTCCATGAAGCGGTGGTTCGTATGTGCGAGCGAAGCTGAACAATAGGAACTCCCTTTCACCGCCGTCCAACACCGAGTCCTTACCCTTGACGCTCAACCAGCGAGCAGTACAGAGCCCGCGATCCTCGTCTTAGTGACGGGTCAATTGTTAGTGGATGACGGATCCAACATATTACAATACAGCCAGATGTTTCACGTGGGTTACACTTGTCCTCCCAATCCTCCCCATACACATGAATCTCCCCCTTTTTCCATCTCCTTACAGGTATGCTCCTGATGATACCTACGGGGGCTTGAGTACCTCCATCCCCATCGCAATTCCTACGGTGCTTTACGACCTAGACTTCTTGACTAAAGTATCCCTTCGATGAGAAGAAAATGCGTCTTGACTGACGTGCAGTTAAAACCCGAGAATGGTTCCTACTTTGTCCAAAACGACGTGTTCCGACTGTCAGTTTCGCTTCTTCGCAAACTTTCCATCCATGACTGACATGCAGTGTTTACGGCTGATCCGACGTCATCTTTCACCTCCTTAATGACCATGTTCAGATCACGTATGCATATAAATTTCAACTTCTTTGGGCTTCCTGGCGCGCTAGCAACATGACGACGTCGGGGCCAAACCACATGCGCCCCTTCTATCCTCCTCTCACCGCCCACAGCAAGGACTTCCTTTTTGCGCTTTCTTCTCATGACATAACAAGATGGTTTTTCTCATGACATAATATGAGAACATCCTTTCTTCCGTCTCCGTTCATGGTCGAACTTTGAAGTTCCGCGCTGACCACGGACGAGGTGTTCACAAGCTATAAGGCCACCTCTTCCCTCACCGGGACCCGAATACGCCACCGACTTAATATCGAGTCCTAATACCATGGATGCCCCTCCAGAAGATACACCTGGAAGTCCTCCCACTTATGCAGACGACCCACGCAACGGCACCTATCATTGGTCCATTGAAATCTTGAACCTTCTCAGTGAGGAAATGGCTGTCATTTTACGAGCATCACCTAGCACACAGGAAGATGATCATGCAATACTCAAACTGCAAACTCAAGTCTCAGAGGTTATGCAGACAATCATGTCCGACTTTGATGAAAGAGACCGTTCTCATTTAACTAAGATAATCCGAGCCGCAGAGTTTTTTCCAGCGGATCAGCCAGAACCAATCCAACTGGAAGACTGGGAAGAGACAACTCGGCTTGTCTTTCAAACTGACAGTATGTCCACGACAGCAAAGGGGATCAAGGGACCTATAAGAGAAGCAATCTTCACTGAATTATGGAAGGCTCAAACTCAAAGATGTTGCGTTTCACCCACCAGATCTTCTGTCCCGCATGAATACACTTTATCTTCATCAGGCACAGCTAATCCAGTCCAAGGATTGGGATAAATTGAAGAAACTTCACCAGGAAATCTCAATGACCATTTCAAACCTTCCACACAAAGTTGTGGACCCTGCACTGTTTCCTCTTATCCACATATTTGCGGGAGTAGCAGAGCATCCCAGCATCCAAGCTACTTTGAGAGATGCCTTGCCATCATCTGAGCGTTTTCATGACTGGAAACAAACAGCCCGTCTGTACACTATCACAGCATGGGTCATTAATGAATACAAGCTGCAAGCAGATAGCCAAACTGTGGGAGAGCTATTCACTCAACTGTGGAAAGCTGATAACTAAGTATATGCCGGTGAACTCAGTAGATAGAAAGACTCGTGCCCGTGATTAACCCGATAAGGGTGGTCAGTATAGGAAATCGAATCTGAAGATCGACGTGAAGCAATTCACTTTGGAATGGAAAAATCATGCTAAGGATCCCAGAGGAGTAAGCATGATGCATGAGATGAGAGAAAAGGGACGTCCCTCGTATACCATTGTAAGTCATCTGAAGATGGTTTCGGATCCCTCTTGACCATGCTTGACACATGTACCTCATTTGGTGGATCATGAGCAACCCCTCATCCGACATCTGGCAATAACTCAAAGATGTTGTGAACTCACCCGATCACTTAACCCCTGATACTGCATCGGTCGTGAATGTGAGTTCAACCCGATCAATCTCGTTCAGTACGGACACGATGATTGGAGATATACGAAAGAATATGGCCATGCTAGAAATGTTTACATACTACTATTCTTTCTCATTCGTCCGATCTTCTCTCCATTTCTCGATCCATTCTCCTATCCTCCTAACATTCTCCTCTACCTCACCTTCTTCTTTCCCATCACTTAGTAGTTGTACGACGATTTCTTCAACATATGATTCCCTCGTCTCTGTCAAACAAGTTTGCATTATCTCAGCAGTAATATTTTCGTGTAATTTCTTTTCGGGATAATGTCTATTATAAGTACACGCCTTATTGGGTCGTAGAGTGTGAATTGGACTAACCGGGAAGTCAGACGATCATGTAAAACTGAATTGTCGCATGTTAAAACGACGACTGAATCTATCCAACGTTCTGGGAAAAGGGAAGGGTCGTGGTGATCTATTATGAAGCCTGTGGTCAATTACCATTTCTATTTTTCTTCTCCGACTCTTCTCAAGCCCAATCGTTCGCATCACGTCACTTCTGTCATATGTTCCATCGTCTTATCCTCTCGCAATGAGCCCATTGATAGGGTGTCCTGGTGATCCTAATATCTTTCTGGGCCGAGTTCCCCATATTATGAATAATAGGCAGCCAATAGGAGAGTACGCCCTTTGATACAACGTGAGAAGTGAGAATTTGGAAAGAAACCACTCACCCGTTTCCGCAGGTCCATCAAAAGGATTAACTTTCTCCTCCATCCAATCTAATAACTTATCTTCATCAACGATCCAGCTTTGCCATTCTTCATCCCATCCTTCGTGAAAACCATTTTGTTTGACTATATCTCCGACGTTGAGATGAACTAACGGTGATGATGTATCTTGAGAATTGAGGGCGAGAAGATCGGAATGAAGGGTTTTACCTGTTCCTGGTGTACCTAAGTATGAGCATCTACATTCTCACTTCATTTCGAGGTGATAAGACACAAGAGGAGTAGGAGGAGAAGACTTACCAGTGATGAGTATTATAGGATGTTGTCGGGGATGATGAGTTGTCATTATCGTCAATTGAATGAGGGTAGGTGAGTTTGGTGATATCAAAGTTACGAGGATGTTAGACGGGTGGTCAAACTTTTGCATCTGCAGGGTGGGGCTCCGCATTTGAGTTTCCAAGGTTGCTTCGTCTGCGATCGTCTGCTTTCTACTTCACCTTACTTGTATGCGTTGGATCGCTTTTGTGAATATAAGCGACAAACATGCGTATGTATCAGAGACGATGAAAACCAATCTGTGTGTAGTATATAGGCCTACATGAAGACCGACCTCAAATCAACTGTTCTCGAGAATGAAAGAAACAGGCCTCTCTAATGAAACCGGTCCACATCCCTGCCTCAAGAGGACATTTTCAAACACATACCTAATAACATGATCCATGGTATGTTTCAAATCCCAATGATCCGACTTTTGGCTTACCTCGCTCGGATGTTCCATAAAGACTCACTTACTGTACAGAATCGGAAGATAAGGACGAGGGCGAGTCTCGGATACCAAAGACTACTCCGTTCCCGTGCCCTTGTGGCGCGCGGCAAGTCGATCACTTGGTGACGAAACCGATGACGATTGCCGTTTTTCCTGTGACGGCATAGGATCTTGGAGCGCGGTTTGGGGATGCTCAATCGATCAATGGCTTTGACCTCTGCTCCAACGCCCTCTACAGTATAACCAACACTTAGGATACTTCCTCTGCAATGTGCCAAGGCAAGGGAGGAGGGGGACGTCCGTGCCGCACTACTTTTCATTAGCATACAATCCTTCCCCACAAATATGCAGACTAACCGAGTTCCTCTTCGACTCCCCACAAATCTTCGACTCCCCACAAATCCAGTGAAGCCTATTGAATGGTAGCGTATACAAGGCACGAGACCACGGGGATGGAAAGGAGGATATGACGGAGTAAAGGAAGTACGACGGCTATGATATCATTGTCTTTCCCATGTGGCAGCCCGCCCCACTCGACTTTGTATGTGGCTACATGAGATTTGGGATGGTATGAATACTGGGACCGATTCATCCTCGGTAGCTATACATTCCATATCGTACATTTCACATCCACTCTCATCACATCTTGCATCCATTCTCATCAAATCTCATCCATTCTCATCACATCTCATACCGTGAGCCACCACATCGAACGTCCCTTGAAAACGTCGGCCTAAAATCACTCCGACTCTACAGTCCCGACCGAAAGATCCGTACTGTAGAAAGGTAAGAAAAGGGAGATATGATAGCTGCTGTTCTCACCCCATACCAATTGTCCAATACTAATTTAGCCATGCACGGTGAGTATTTTCTTCTTCCTCTGATGCACCCATCGGAGAAAACATCATTCTTGCCCTGATCATACCTGTTCTAGTCAACCTCGAAATATGCGCCACACTAATCGTCGATGATACATTGGAGGTATCAGATCGAGCTCGACCATGAGGACAGTGCAAAGGGAAGACGTTTTAGTAAGGAAAAATGGTCGCTTATCGATAGACGCTCATTCCGTTGAGAGAAAGAAGAAACAATACTCACACGGGATATACGAGTACACGAAGAGTATGTGGGAAGATGTACGGTTAGATATCGAGTGGGTGTAGTTGCTTGTCCTTGCTTACTTTCATTTCCGCCTCTCAGTTAAAACCTGTTGCTATTTCTTTAGTCTGATCAATGTCTTTATGTCAAAACACCTCTCAAACCCTTTCATTGGGTCTCTCTACCTATCATTCAACCCGTGTTCATCCTGATCAATTCGGATGAATCACACTGACAGTCAGACGACGTAAAACCCTCACGTCGAAATCTTCCCAAGAGTCCCTCGCTCAATCCTCTTCCACCCAAAGTCAAAAAGGTCCCACACAACCTTCCCCTCGAGACGAAAAACGTGACACCCAATCGATGTCCAAAGAAGCGGCAGTGGAGGAGAAACGAGGATCGGTGAGCTCAACGACCTCAAACACTTCCAGTACAGGGGCGGCGACACAGATCGGAGCGGTTCCTGCCACCCATTAATCTTTCCCTTGTTGAAAAGTTGGTTCGGTAGTTGAGATGATCACGCAGTGATACAGAGTAAGTCGTATATGGATTGAGCTGGCGGTGGAGGGTGGAAATAACATCGGTTAAACAAGGGATAAGGAGGACCACAATCTTCGATACGTATCAATATTTTGCTGTAGCTTTAGTCAACATGTATATATCTATGGCATGGGAGATTATGTATTCTGGAAGATAGTACCGCCTGGGGTGGTCACACGAGCATAGCTTTGTCGCGACAGGATGAACACTCGAATGAACAAGAAGATAGGGTACAGAGATGGAGAAGGGTAAGGGGACGAATCTATTCAGTAGTTGGTTAGTAAAAATTTCATAAATTAAGTATTGGGCGGTTTTGTTCGCCTGGTTGGAAGTCTTGTGACACCTCAGCAAGGCAGATTGAGATTCAGCGTAAACTCACCAGCATCTCCAAGAGAAACGAAGCTCCCTATGGAAGGAATCGGGATTTGTCCCGAGACTCCACGTGGCAGCCGCTAAGCGAAGTTGATAGGCGGTGATTGCCGGTTTGTGGGTTCTCGGTCGCTCGGAACCGCTCCGTCTTTGCTTTCTCCCCTCAAAAGTCTCAACATCTGATCATCTTTCCTCGTTGTACATACATACACCTACTTTTGTATCCCTCCACCATCGTCCTTCTACGACTATCTCTATTTCCACCTAGTAATGTCAGTGATGAATCCGGCTTTTCTACAGCCGGATTATCAGACTACTTCAAAACCAGATCTCAAGTCATCTACAACTATCTCATCTTCAAATCACAAAACCGAAATGTCCGGTTTATCACTACCCGATCGATCCAGACGAGAGACTTCTTCACCAGATTCACCAGATGACGAAGAACAACAACAAGATATCGAAGACGTTCAAAATGATTCCAATATGAACAAAGATCAAGATCAAGATTCTAATGCTGGAGAAGCTAAACGTCCAAGATTACGTCTAGCACACGCATGTGATAGATGCAGAAAAAGAAAAATCCGATGTGATACTCAACAACCTTGTGGACCATGTCAAGCAACAAAGAATGAATGTACTTTTCATACTCCTTCCAGAAGAATTGTCAAACCTAAATCTTCAATGGAGGTATTACGTTCTTCGACATCAGGTATCAAAAGACCTCATTCCCCACCCAACGTTTTGGCGAATTTAACGGGTGGAACTAATTTAGAAGCGAGGTTAGCAGCTTTAGAATCTATGTTAAGAGATGTCCCACCGAATGTACATAACGCTTTCTTATCTTCCCTCGATGCGAGATTAGGAAGTGGGACGGGAGTCGGGATCAAAGAAGGTAAAGGAGAAGGTGTGGGAGTGGCTTTGGAAGCTCTTATGGGAAGTAATTCCGCTACTGGTTTGAGGGATTTTGGATCGGTCAATGCGGGAAGTAGTATGTTACTTGGGGATTGGGGAGATGGTTGGAAAGGTTTAGGAAGTGCTACGGGTATGAAAAGACGAGATGATGGAGTTGATCAGATGGCAAAGAGGTTTGAAGGCACAAGTTTCTTCTATGAGGATGAAATTGGTCAAGCAAAATGGCAAGGTGAGTTTAATACTTCCTCTCATTACACATATAACGACTCGTTCTCTCTTTAATTATCAATCTTCTGTGAATATCGAGATCAATCGTGCTTGCAGTATTTATCTGCGTCATCCATCGGTAAGTATGTGAGCTGACTCATCCAGGGGCAACATCCGGTTTCCCTCTCCTCAATATATTAACAGCGTCCAACACTTCAGCAGATGCAGAATTAGAAGAAGAGCTTGATAGTGATCTCTCACAAAATTACAATGATACTCCAGTGGTCGAACCAACACCTTTATCACCTACAACCTCAACACGTCGTACTTCATTCCCAAACCCACTCAATTCTAGAGTTCGAAATTCTTCTTCCTCCAACCCTACTTCTTCCTTAACAGTACCCTCTTCTCCATTATTACGAAAACAAAGATTCTTTCCTGATCGTACTCCTCGACCTCATCAAACTCTTAATCCAGAAGCATCATGGAAAGTCATCACCGGTGTTATCCCACCGGATGTTATGGATACTCTGGTTCGATGTTATCTTTCGACTTCTCATCTTTTATGGCCTTTTCTACACGTTCCAACATTCTTAAGAGATTATGCAAATCCACAACAATGGGGAGAACCAGGTTTTGCATGCTTCATCGTCGCTGTTTGTACACTAAGCAGTAGACATGTTGACGATCCTAGAGTCAGGGCAGTGCCTACAGATCCTAGTACAGCGGGAAAGGCATATTTCGAATTGTTCAAGAGATTGAGGGATTTACCAAGTGCAGATAGACCGACTTTGTATAGTATACAAGCTGCTTTTTTGGCTGCGATTTATGCGTTTGGGTTGGGGAATTTGAGTAAAGCGTTTTCTTTACAAGCTGAGAGTATCACTTTGTGTTTGGATGGAGGTTTGCATAGGAGTGTTGATGGGTATGATCATTTCGATGCTGTAGAGAGGGAGGTTCGGAAGGTGAGTCGTTGCTGTGATCATATCTCAAGCCAACACTACTTCAATATACATCTTCTACCCAATCTCTCACTGTACTGCCGGTTCACGGTAGCGACAACCCATTTCGTCTGTCTGGTTTCGTATTTTCAGCACCATGTGTGATAGGGGGGAGCTGATCTCCTAGCGAACCTTTTGGGCCATCTACTCTTGGGATAAACAATCAGCCGCTCTGTTTGGTCGTCCGCCGATCATCCATTTAAGAGATTGCGACGTCACAGAACCTTTGATAGTGGACGACGATAGTCTGACACCGGAGGGAGTGAAGGAACCCGTGGATGAGACTACCAGTCGGATGTGTGCTTTTGTCTCTGCCGTCCGACTTCATGTGATCCTAGAGGTGGGTTTCCTCCTTCGCCTATTATTTCCTGTCGGCTGTCTCATCCGTTCTTAACTTAAACGTGATCTCATCTCCATGCATCTTCCACCATAGCGAGGACGTTTATTTGACATAACAGGGAGTTCTCGATGCCGCCACTCAACCTTCAACATTCCCCACCTCACCTTTTTTAGCCAAAGCAGCAGCCATCATAGCTCGACGTTCAACCACCAACGACCTAGGTGAAGAAGAAGCCCTCTTAGCAGAATGGCAAAAGCTTTTACCTAGATATTGGCAATACGATTCAGAAACTGCTACTTCTCGTGATCCTATACGTATCACTCAAGCTGAACGGTTACATTGTTTGGAACATTTGGTCAAGATGATCATCTATCGACATCGATTTTCGGGATTCGTAGCTGTTCCAGCTTCAACGACAGAGGATAGAGCGAGACATATGGATTTTTGTAGGAAAGCAATGCAAAGTGCTTTGACTATAATTGCGGATCATGTGCATATTGTGAGTTTCTCTTTCTCCTGTTTGATGAAAAGAACTGATGTTGGTAGAGTCAAAGAGGTATGATGACATATTGTGAGTTTATGTTTCTTCTCATCTTCTTTTTCATACCTCATTTCTTTTTGAGAAAAGAAAGGCCCCTTGTTCTCTTCCAATGTAGCAAAGAGGATGAGTGACGATGCGGAATGGAAATGAATGGGTCCGTCGAGGGAAGAATGAACTGATAAATAGATGGCGTTCATGTCATCCATCAACTCGCTCAGGCCGGTCGAACCTTAGTCGCTGTCGTACTCAATTGTAGGAATGCGGATTTTAGACCTCTTATCGCTCCTTCGATCGATGGATTACGATCTTGTGTGGGATTGTTAAGAAGGTTCAGTGGGAGATATCTCTGTGGATTGAGATCAGCGGATATCATTGATGAATTTTGTCGAAGTAAGTTTTCGTCCTGATTTGCCATCTTCCATCCCTTCAATCATATCACCTCGCAGAACGTAACCGATTGCCTATTATGACGACCTTCACCATTCTTCCGAAGTGAAAATACCTCCTCTGTCCCTAAATGCCAGAATTTGACGAGATGTGAAGAAAATGCCTGACTGTCAGTCTGTAACATCCCCGTAGATTCACCACGCGTACCGGATGGCACCGGTCGTCCTTCCCCAGCATGGTTACGTCCTGTCCGTCGACGACCATCACCATCACCTTCCGCCATCTCTCCCACAGATCCTCCTATTCCTTCTCTGACAGAAACACCAGCAGGAGTAGATATCATGTCAGCTCATCCTAATCTTATCTCTTCTACTACAGTTCCTACCGACTTGGAAGCTTTATTCAACGCTGCGGACTATTTCGATATTTCAGTCATTGATACACCTCTACAAGGAACTTCTCAACTTTCATCAAATCAGAATAACCAACAACCTCATCATCTCAGTATGTCAAATGGTCATGATGGTATAATGGGAATTGAAAGTTTCGGGAATCTTAATGGTATGAACAATATACCGGGTATGAGCAGTATGAACAGCTTCAACGGTGTACAAGGAGGAAATGGTGTGAATGGTCAGACTGAGATGAATGGTTTCAACGGATTAGAAGGTTTGCTGGGGTTAGGTGCTTTGGGAGAGGCAAGCGCTCCTTTTGATAGATTGGAAACACTTACTCCGGATCAATCAACAACGAATTATGAAGGTCAATTGGGTATGGAAATGTTGAATCAAATACCACAAGGTCAGACGCAGGATCAGAATCAACATGGAATGTGAGTTGACTTTCATCTCTCTGTTCATCTTACATCTTTCATCTTTCATCTTTCTTTGTTCGCCCACTTCCATCTCTCACTCCGTCCTCCTCGATCATTTTGGGCAATCTGTCAGGCTTCATGTTATCTCTCAACAAACTCCTTCACTCGAATAGCGTTCTAGGTGGTGGTGGTTTCTGTGACAATGCCCCACTTGTAAGATCCAGCAATATCTTCTCGACGGACTCAGGAGATGGTAGTATGAAGACATGCTAACGATACAGGTCGGCAGCTACAATTCTGAGTTTGCTGGAAGATGGTAACTTTGATTATGGAGCCATGTTCACTGATCAAGCGCCTATAAGGATAGACGGGGAGACTTGAGACGTATTGTGTGTATCATTATCAATGCACGAATTTATTGCTTGTTACATGACATCGGGTGTCGGCGATGCTCCCAGTCCATCTTAGAGTAGTACATGGTGTGCATGTTGCAAAGTGCCATCAGGGGGTCAAGTATGAAGTCGACTGTTTAGGTATGGACATGACACGAGTTCACTAAAGGTCAAGTAGGTATAGCATGATTCATCCCTCATCAATAATGGTACTTACTTGCTACCACTTCCCCCTCAACAAGCTGGTTTGTATATCGGAGCCTGACCTTGCAGGAGCTACACCCACCATGATAGAGTGGGAAGAGACAATGTCGTAAGCACTCGGACGAAGCATCATTCGGCAGGGTGGCTGGGAAGGGGAAAGAAGATATTCCTGCATCAGTGACGCCATCAAGCGCAAAGGCACAAGGATACAAGGAAAGTGAGAAGTCTGTGGTCTGTGGGAACATTAATTTCTCTATTGGATTGATTGTGAGAGCTGTATCAAACAAAGACGCATAAGATCCTTGGTGCTGTTTATAAATGACTTCACAATATACTCTAGGTAGTAAATAGACACATCGGGAGTACAGTGGCTAGTGGCACGTTAGGTGAGGCAGTCAGACTATTCGCGCCTAACCCTCACAGGGACAACTTTTCCCATTCCGCACGCCTAAAGTTCATTCGACCCCGACTCAGCTCTCCAGTCGCCCATTCGCCCGCGCGTAGGGATAATCCCGACGGAACTCGAATTAATCCCGACGAAATTTTGCCACTTTCTCCCAAAATACGTCACTCAACCCGAGGATCCCTCCACTACTGACCCAAATACCTACGGAATGTCCCCAAATCCCCCCTGTATTGAATATGCATCCTACCGTGGCTTCTTGCATATCTATGGGTTGCCACACGTATTCTGAAGCCATTCATGCAGGCAGAACCTCCGAATTCGGAGTCCTTGGTTCTCTACAGCCATTTGGAGTTCAAATTCGGAAACGCCCCCGAAAGGATGTGTCCTTCAACCCTAGGCACTGTTTGGCGGTGATTGGGCAATCATTTTTCTCCTCTTCTTATTTCAATCATCTTCTTTCCATTGATTTAAACATAATAGTAACTTACTGAATTAAGCTCACAAGCTTTATGTCTCAGAATAATCAAGCTGATCAACTCATTCTCAACGCTTTAAAGAGAAAGTCGCCTTTTCGTGGTCGACCTCCGAAAGTGTATGCTCCTAGTGCACAATCACCATCAACATGTCAGTGTCTCCTCTGAAGATTATCTCACCCCTTACTAACTATGTAGCCGGTCCTTCTCACCCTATTGAGCCTTCTTCTATCAACAGGACAGCTTCGGAGATCCAGTCAGTTTCGGTTTCGGTGCCCTGTGAGACATTCTCTTTTCCTCTTGGTTCATTGAAGCTTATGCTCAGTGAACAAACCGCCGCCCTTTCCTGAACCACCCCAGCTGAGCTCAAGAGGGGCTTCTTCTCCATCTCCTTGTCATAAAGTAGCTCAGCCCGATCTCCTTCCAACCCCCTCTGCCTCCCTGCCTGCTTCCGAAACGCGACTGGAATCGCATTTGGATTCGGTGGCCTGTGAGGCAGTTTCTTTTCCTCTGGGTTCATTGAAGCTTATGCTCAGTAAATCATTCACAGCAGTTTCCCAAATCGTCTCCTGGTCACAAGATACCCCTGTCCACGGCTGATTCCAGTGAGTACTTTTGGATCCCCTTTATGTATCAACTGACAGGAGAGTTGCATCAGGAGATACTCCTGCATCGTCCAACGGTATTGGTATTGTGACACCAGATTCGGTACCCTGGACAGAGCTGGTCATGGCCTCCCCCTCCGCTTCATTGTCTTCGGCCGTGCAAGCTTCAGCACCCAACTTATCCGCTGCCGTTCCGAAATGGTCTCCCTCTCAACCTCCGAATCCCATTTCGGTAGAAGATGAGATCATCACTGCTAGGCAAGAGGCGGCCGGGCGCTTCCGAATTGTCAATATCTCTTCCGAATCATACTCCGTACCACGTCCTGAGGCTCCACTCTTGGCACTCAAAGCTCCTCGCACCGACGCTAGTCTTGGGGTCAACATACGTGCTTTGGAAACCTTCTGTCGTTTACCGAATCCTGACCTGGTGGATGATGATCGCTATGAACAATTCGAGGTGGCTTTTCATCATATCCCGAAAGCGTTTGACTCTTTGGTCAGTGTTCTGTTTTGGAGAGTTACAACCGTTGATATATCAGCGTCAGGACTACCTCATTGAGACCCAGCATATATCCAAATGTGTTCAAGTGGAATGGTTGGATCCCCCTGGTTTATTACCCGCCGACATCAGGGGAAGACATGGCCTCTTCTTTGTCTCCGACAGTGCTGTCGCCGCATACCCGAATCGGACAGTGTTTCGGTCGATCTTCCGATGCAGTGGCAACTGTACCCAGATCCAGCCAACTTTGAACAGTGTCCACCACCATGTTGAGCCGAAAGCAAAGGATGAAACACAAACAACAGCCGAAGCTCACCCTCCAACTGCTGCCAGTGCACGATATTCCTCAAGAGCACGTTTAAAGTGTGATCTTTTTCTTGAGGTGGGTCATATAAGGATGATTCATCTTCACTAAGCTGATTTTCTTAGATACGAATGACCCCCAGCAATATCCGAAAAGGGGTCTGTTGTCTGATCCGCCCGAAAGCTGCATATC